CGCCGGGTGTCCCTGTGCCCACACCCGCACACCCACCCGTGCTCACGTGAACCAGAATATATGCCACCAGAACATCCAAATATCCACCAGGATATTCAACTACCCGCCAGAATATTCACACACCCACCAGATTCTTACAGACATCCAGTTATCGAGTTACCATACTGCTACTCGCTCTCTTTATCCCCTACCAGAGTAAGGAATTAAGACACAATTTTACAGAATCATGGAATCACTGGATGGTTTTGATAAGAAGGAACCTTGATGATTATCTAGTTCAAATCCCGCTCCTATGGGCAGGGATGACCAGGATAGATCAGGTTGCTTAAAGCCCCATCCAACCCTTGAACACTTCCAGAGATGGGGCATCCACAGCTTCTCTGGGCAACATGTTCCAGTCTCATCACCCTTGCAGTAAGGAATTTTTTCTTAATATATTACCTAAACATACCCTCTGTCAGATTTCCCCTTGTCCTGTCACTACATGCCCTTGTAAAAAGTCTCTCTCCAGTTCTCCTGCAGGCCCTTCAGGTACTGGAAGGCTGCTCTAAGGTCTCCTCAGGGACTTCTCCAGGCTGAGCAATCCCAACTCTCTGAAGCTGTCTTCAAAGGAGATGTACTCTATCCCTGTGAATATACCTCGGTTTCATTGTATTTTCCCACTGTTCTGGCAAAATTTAGAAAATATTTACATTCATCACTAGTAGCCACATTTCTCAGACAGGCACGTACACACATTTCCATAAGGTGCGTGGACAGCATGTGCTCCTTTTGCTAGGTGTATTTACAGGGAATTCTCAGAGTAGTTAGAGGGTACACACAGCTCTTACACACCCTAAAATGGCTGTTTTGGCATGTGGCATTGCTCTTGCCAGGCTGTCGCATGCCTGGGAGTCCTGTGCAGGGCACCACAGGGCATGCAGCAGCCTCGTGCCAAGCGCCTGGCCTTTTGCAGCTATCACATATCTCAGTGTCTGAGATAAACTTTGGGAGCTCTCACGTTACATCCGGAAAAACTTGAAAGGAAGGAGATGCCTTAACCTGGTAGCTGCAGTACTGGCCAGGAGTGAAAAGAAACAAAATCAGCAGCTCCCAGCTTGCACTGGCCCACAGGCTACATCCCTTCTTCTCTCTGTCAACCCAACCTTGAAACACGAGTATCTATGAGCAATATTGAGTGTCCCAATGAGCTGTGGGCGTGGGGACTGCTGTGCTAAAACCAGCAGACCCATTTGCAGCTCTAGGACTATGGCACTCTAAAAAGCCCCATGGCTTTTACTCGCCTTCTATTTTTGACAAATTATGATACATTACATTGCAATCATACTTTTCCTTTCAAAATAAGCTGCAAAGGGGAGAAGTCACTGTGCTCTGTCAACGTCAAAGTAGAGAAGATTTTCTCATATTCAGATGGAACCTCCTGTGTTTCAGTTTGTGCATTTTGCCCCTTTTCCCATCCCTCAGCACCACTGAAAAGTCTTGTCCTATTCACTTGTTGACTGCCCTTAAATGTTGACAGAACAAGAGGACACAGACTCAAGCTGCACCAAGGGAGATACAGGCTAGAATTAAGGAGGAAGTATTTTACAGAAAGAGTGGTCAAATACTGGAATCATCTACCCAGGGAGGTGGTAGAGTCACCAACCCTCGAAGAGTTTAAAAAAAGACTGGATGTGGCACTTGGTGCCATGATCTAGTTGAGGTATTAGAACATGGGTTGGACTCGATGATCTCAAAGGTCTCTTCCAGCCTAGAATTTCTGTGATTCTGTATTCGTAAGCATTGATGGTCCCTTCTCAGTTGCCTCCTCTCCAGGATAAACAATGGCTCTCTTAGCCTTTCCTCATAAGCAAGATGCTCCAGTCTCCCAGCCATCTTTATGGTCCTCTCCTGGACCTGCTCCATGCTGAGGTCTCTCTTGTACTGAGGAGCCCAGAATTGGACACAGCACTCCAGATGTGGCCTCACCAGGGCTGAGTAGAAGGGCAGGATCACCTCCCTCAACCTGTTGACCACACTCTTCCTAAGGCACCCCAGGATACCACTGGCCTTTTTGGCCACAAGGGCACACTGCTGGCTAACTTGACCACCTGGACTCCCAGGTTCTTCTCTGCAGAGCTGCTTTCCAGCAGGTCAGGCCCCAGCCTGTGCTGGTGCCCTGGGTTTTTCTTCCCCAGGTGCAGGATCCTGCATTTGCCTTCTCTGAACATCACTGTGTTCTTCTCTGCCCGGCTCCTGTGCATGTGCAGGTGTTGCAGCATAGCTGCAGAACACTATGGTGTGTTAGCCACTCCTCCTAGTTTTGTATCATGATCAAACTTACTGCAGGTACACTCTGTCCCTTCATTCAGGTCACTGATTAATAAGGTGAATGAGACTGGACCCAGTACTGACCCCTGGGAACACTCCTTGCTAAAGCCCTCCAACTAGCCTGATCACAACACTGAGCTCTGTCACTCAATCTACCTCACTGTCCACTAACTCATCCCATTTCCCTTGGTGAAATACTGCTTGGTGAAATACTGAAATAACCTCCTTTTCCTCCACTTGCTTAGAGGTGACATCCAGGATGGGTTGTTCCAAGGATGAAGGTGAGATTGACTGGCCTATATTTTCCTAGGTCCTTCTTCTTGCACTTTTTCAAGACTGAAGCAACATTGGTTTTCCTCCAAAAAAGGAAAAGGGGAGGTCCTCAGGCACCCCTCCCGTATTCCGTGACCTTTCAGATATGATGGAGAATGGTTTAGCAATAACATCAGGTGCTCTCAGGACATTTCCCACCCATTCCTCCCCATCATCCATCTACTTCCCTCCAGCCTTGCTTCCTGGATGGTAATTTCCTCTTGGCAGCTGCTGCCTTGCCTTGCCCACTCACTGCCAGCTCTTCACTTGACATATATTCACAGGGATGGAGAGAACCAACTTGCAGCACCTTCCCACCTCTCTGCCCAGCCTGGTACACGGCCAGTGCCCCATAAACAGTGTTTGAACTGCAGCTGCCACACTCCCAGGGCTGCCGGTCAGTGAGGCTGAGTTGCAGAATGCCAGGCAGACAGCGTCGACCTGCAGTGGCTGAAAAGGAACAGGAACATTTCTTTTTCACAGCTCTTATGATTTGAATGGATATGGAAGAAAAAGGTATGCTTTGGTAATGGCTGTTTGTGCATGGAGTTTAAGAAAATCTGTTTACAACTCAAGATAGTAAAGGCAGATGTGTAGGAGAGCTGACTCAGTGAGCAAAATGGACAAAACCCCTGCCTTAAGAATGCCTCATTTTAAAATGAGAGATATAAGAATAAGCCAGGTGTGAAGCAAGTTATTTTAACAAATTTTAATCAAGCTACAAACTTTAGTAGATATAGCACCTCCAGAAAATAATCTAGTCCCCATTGTTTGTGCCTCTCCGAGAAGTCATCAACTTTTTCAAGACACCTAATTTCACAGCAGTTGCCTGAAAAGGAGATAAGGATAACAAATTAGTGAATGATTAGTCAATAAAAAATGCAAATTGTCCAGAAAAAAAAAATCTTATCCACAGATTTCCCCACAGTGCCTAACACAGTGCACTGGGGGGAATTTAATTGCTCTCTTTTGTACTGGGATGTAATTGTCTATGCCAATGACTCACTGCACACAAACACTGTTAGAGTCTCAGAAAGTTGTAAATTTAAAAATGAGATATTACAGCACACTAGGAGGAATTCCTAAAATTAAATTCCTGACATAGCTTCAAATTTCATTATTTTGATGGATTTGAGTGGTACATTTTTAGCATTTTCTTTGAGTGCCATGTTACTTTTCTTATTTGTCACAAAAGTACAGTAGAAACTGTAGCACTGGTAGGGCTTCTATTAAAACAGGGCAACTGGTAGATGAGGTGCAGGCAAAGACAAAATGGTCAAACAGAACTCTAAGACTGCAGCTACAGGATTACTGAGTGCAGTATGAATCCTGGGAGAATAAAAAAGCTACCAAAGGGAGACAAGAAACTGTTTGCCTCTTGGGTTTTCTTCGTATTTTTGAAGAACTGAGAATTGTCCATGCCAGCAAAATCCCTGTGGATAAATGGTATTTATTTCTCCCAGTATTTTTCTATTACTCTAGATAAGAAGCAAATGACTGCATCACTCATCACAGGGCAAGGTAAAGGCATGTAAACAACTTTATGTGTTTTTGAAAAAATTCCTAAGGGTTAGGTGAAATTTTACTCACCAAACAAACTTTTAATTTCAGATTCAGGAACATAAAATGGCGGGCCTGAAAGAAAAGGGTGAAGCTAATCAGACAGGAGACATAGGAAGAAGACAAAATTTGCACTGCAGTAGGAGAGCCAACCCCTTCACTTGCAGCACCTGGCCTGTAATGGGGCCCCAGGGTGTAGCATCAGAAGGAACCAGAAAACATGCCCAGGAACTCGTGGCACCTTGGCAGGCCAGACAGCTTCAGGTGCTGCTGCTGCTTCAT